CAAGGGTACAAATTCCCAAATTCCCAAATTCTCACATTCCCCAATTACCAAGTGTACAAATTCCCAAATTCCCTAATTCTCACACTCCCAAATTACCAAATGTACTAATTCTCAAATTCCCCAATTCTCACATTCCCAAATTCTCAAATACCCAAATTACCTAAATCTGAAATACCCACATCTCTTAGTTCTCAAATTCCCAAATTCCTAAACCCCTAAACCACTAAATTTTCAAATCTCTAAATTCTCCAAAATCCCAAATTCCTTAAATCTCATATTCCCAAACTACCTTCATCGCCTCAAACCTATTCAAATTCCCAAATCCTAAAATCCTGTAATTTTCCTGTAACCCTGTAATCCTAAAATCCTCAAATAAATCCCTAATTTCCCACATTCCTTTCGCCACCACGTCCTTAAATTCCAGATATCCCAAACTCTACACTCTTAAATCAAAATTTCTACTGACCGAAAACCAACGATTAACGAGGTTGTTTTTTCCTACGCCTCCAGTTCCCTGAAACCGGTCTTCCATAAAACGATTCTCCTAAGAAGCAACATAGATAAATAATACTACTTTCATAAATATGAAGAATAATAATACACACTATTAATATTTCTCAAAAGAATAAACTGCTGTTCAGTTCAGTTCAGACATACTTAAATCTCTACTGCTTTCTTAAAACGATGCACCACTGTTTATGCTATCATTATTTACACAGTTGTCAAAAGAATTCGAAAGAAACGATCTCGATCAAAATTCCCAAGCACGTCATAATTTTCAAAATTCTTCATGATAATAATTATCTGTCAGATAGAATCATTACTTAAGGTTGTCTAATTACAATTACGTTTAGTAACGAAGACGTTCAAATTATTGGCAAGGATCTCTTTTTGCTTCATTCGAATATTTCAAATTTTTATGTATATATTCAAACTTTAATATTTTTTATATATATTCCATTTTACTTTTGTTCGAGACAACTTAATATAGTTCGCATCTTAATATAGTTACAGTAGAGTCTCGATATTTTCCTGCGTTGGGGGCTCCCGAAATAAAACTACATACAATGCTTCTATAAATAGTAAACTGCGTACCGTTACATGCATAATACAATATTATTTATAAAATTAATTATATATATTTATAAAACTGGTACAACGAAAAATATATACTCTTCTTTATTCTACTACTAAATATTTATCCTACTTCACTTTATCTAAATAAATTAATCTAAAATTCAGATGTTCTTAAAGTTTGTGCCTAACTCAAGTGGAAGAGTTATATTAATTATCTCATCGTACATTATGGTTAACCTCTTCCCGTACCATTTATTTAACAGATGTGTCAGTCAAAATTAACTATTTTGGGCTATAACATTAAAACGAACAAAAAAAATAAAAATTTTGTAAGTATCTTATATTCAGGGAGCCTTGATAATGCAACTTATAGTTGGACCTAAATTTCAAGTTGAAAAGTGTTCAAAGTTTGAGTAAGATTTGTCACATTTGAGCTGTGCTATCAATCTAACAAAGTGCGTCACGAGTGAGACTCGTCAAAGTACGGGAAGGGTTAAAATCGACAAACACCATCCATGTAATACTAATTCGCTCATGAAAAAAAAGAATTCTGACACAAAAGTGTCGGCACATAAATCCTACAAAGTATCAATAATTAGGATCCATTAACTCACTTCATGCAATCTTCTAAGAATCCTATTCTACTTCTAACCTAACCTAACCGTTGAAAGATTCGTAAATAAACGAAAAAATTCGTAAATTGCGCGAACGAAAGTAGAATTTTCTAAAAACTCTTTTACCCAGGATATCATTAATTACTGTTTACCAGTTACAACGTTATGTAATTGAACGTGCAGTCGTATGGATTGTTAAAGATCAGCTCACTTGTCTTCTTTGCGAGTCTGAGATTTTTTTTTTCACGTGCCAGCTTGCTATCTTGCATTTTGTTTCCGTTTCCATTACATCACAGTCGATGCATACTGGCGCACATTTGCCACAAATGGAATTCATGTGAATTCATACCTATTGTTAAAGGTAATCAAACCGGAAAATAGTATCGCTGTTGAATCCCCTCGTAAATTGCACGGATGAACAGAAGTCGTTTTACGATTATTCACAAATTTCATGGGGAATTTACCTTTCGATTATACTTGGAGTTTCCTAATCATTCTTCGATCTAACGACACGATTGACAGGAATATACGAAAGGAAAATATTACGATATCTGGTAATTTCCTGTAATGTTTCACGTCAATTATACAACGATTACCAAATACGTTTATTCTAATGTTAATATGTTCATAAAATTCGTAAAACGTTCATAAAATTCCAAGAAACTAAGGAGAAATGTGATAAAAATGATTGAAAATATGTTTTAATCTTATGCTCGTTTAATAAGCAATATCAATTTATTACTTATTACGACAAAGTAATGGATGAAGCTTGTAGGAGTTATTTATAGCACTGAACATTTCTAAGCTACATGTATTTCGATATAACAATGCTACTTTTTAAATTCATTTATCCAAAATAGAGTATATTATCAGAATCGAACAATTTGATGAATTTATAAATTTTTATAAAGTTTTAAAACGTTGTTCATTATTTTCTAAATACTCTTTAAAACTTTCATATTTTTATATGATTAAAGGATAAAATTTATTTGTAAAAAAAATTTGCTGTGCTTTTTTGTCAATACAAATAATGTTAATTCTCTTTTTAAAATAAAGTAATTATAATGATCACGAAAACACAAGATTTATTTTCCTATATTCCAAAATTATCCTAAAAATGAATAGAAATAGTAGGTTAAAAGAAGCAACTCTTTGCATGGGTTCAAAGATACAAAAAAGAAAAAGGTACAAGTAAAAAAATGAAAGATTTATATCAGAGTTAATTTCATCAATGTCATTTTTGTAAAAATACTGAATTAAAATTTCAAGTAGGGTATGATGCTGTTGAAGTACTTTGTTATGTCGAGAATGAGAGTCTTGAGTATAAGGAAAAAAGGCACCATAAGGAAAGAGAACTGTATCTCTAGTCTGGAAATACCTAAGGGGAATCCTATCAATTCTTTATACCTTTCTTTCTGAAAGAGAAATCTGGTTATTACCCTTTACAAATTAAACAGTTTCTACATTGCAAGCTTTCAAATTTCGAAGTTTTTTTTCGAAAATTTGTAAGTTTACAAATTTTCAAATTGCCAAATCTTCAACTTCAAAAACTTTAGAATTCCCCAATTTCCAAATTTAAAAATTCTTGAATTCCCTAATTTCCAAATTTAAAAATTCTCCAATTTCCTAATTTCCTAATTTCCTAATTTCCTAATTTCCAAATTTAAAAATTCTCTAATTCCCCAATTTCCAAATTTAAAAATTCTTTAATTCCCCTATTTCCAAATTTAAAAATTCTCGAATCCCCTAATTTCCAAATTTAAAAATTCTCTAATTCCCCAATTTTCAAATTTAAAAATTTTCTAATCCCACAATTTCCAAATTTCCAAATTCCCAAGTTATCAAATCCTCAATAATTCCATTCTTGATTTTCCAAATTTCCGACCCCTCAAATTTCTAAACTGAAAAATTTTCGATTCAAAAACTCCCTAATTTACAAGTCTTCAAATTCTAAAATTATCAAATTTTAGAAAGAACTAGTCATCATCATCTAAAGAATATCCGCAGATTTTTATCATTTTACTCCCTCTTTAACCACCATTTTAAATAATTTTGATCTTTGAAATATGTATAGCATTTTCGATACCAGTTTCAAAATAGAATGATTTTCATTTAAATGTGGGAGGATTCTTGTTCCGTCGCCTTTGTACTACATTTGAATAACATTAATTTTTTATCGTTATCAAACAACTTTAATCGTTTTTGTAACTCGTTCAAGGTGATCAAGTTCATTAAACAAAAGCACTGCTTATTGGCATTGTTTAATTATACATCTAATTAAATTCTTTAACACTAATTAATTACAAAGAAAAATCCAGAAATCTATTTCTCTGTTTTATTATACTCTTAGTGTAGCTCATATATAAAGAAAAAAAATTATGAGCTACTAAAAATTCTTACACATATAATATTGAAATAAAATAAAATTTATCTTCGCTCGCTAAAATCACCGTATCTGTTAAAACAATGATTTAAAATATTTCAAACATTACTCACGGCTAAAATATTTGTGGGAGAAAAGAATAAAAGTAAAGTAGTATTCCTTTTTGAATAGGAACACGTACGGCGCATGCGCAGGGTGCACAAACGCGCACGACGTACCCCAATTCAAGAACACATTATTTTACGTTTCTTTACAATACCATAACTTTAGTACAATACCATAATTTTATCCTTCAACAATCAAAAGTTGACTTATATCAATTTTTGAATTGATATAGTTATTTAATAATTAGTATTAAATATATATGGTAATTGTAATATGTAACAAAAGTTCTTTATTACATTCCTCTTCCTTAACACCGAAAAGGTAATTTAAACCGACCGTAGCCGAATCAAGAGCTAATAAAATATGTCGATAATTATTGTCGTTAGCGTGAAAATTGCATTTCCGCAATCTGTTTTAACCTCACGTGACATTAATGTTTTTTCACATTTATAAACTGCGACAAAGTTTCAGCGCCTTTCGAGGAATACGTACTTTCGAATTACGCCGATCTTGTCCGATTTTTTCCGAATGCGACCCGAAGTTTGAACGCACTCGATACATCGAGCTACTCGGATATTCCTGTGGAACATTAATTTGTGGGTAAACTTTGTCTATGGAAATCACGATCTAACGTTTGACACTATGATGAACGAACCTTTATTTTCCTGGCTGCCAGGTGCAGGGTAAACACACTGTATATTGGTATACTGTACAGGTTCGTAACCTGACTCAGAAGCACGTGACGATTTTTTAGGAGAGATGGGTAGTAATGCGCAGACGCATCAGCGCACCGCGCAAAGGCAAATTCTCGACTGTCAAGTTTTAGCTTCGGTGAGCGTTACACGCAGTGAGAGAGACACGCACGGTGACGTTTGCAACGTTCAAACGTTTATAAAGCTTTCTGTTCGATTCGCATTGAACGAAGAATTCAGCAAAAGCACGTAGGTGGTACTTTCTCACGTACGGATCGTAACCTGAATTCGCAAATAAAAATGAACCATTCGAACACATAACCTGGAAAGAGATACGCGTACACATACGATTTTTCTTTCACACGTGGTGAAACTTTGTTGGTTCGATTCGTTTTTTACTGTCAAGTCGAAGAATAGTATCTAGACAGATTGACTGTAATAGATTGGCCGAGTGTTCGTGGGTGTGCCTTTGAAACGGACGAGAAAAAAAGGAGCGTTCCTGCTGCTCGTAGGAAAAAACAACTAGCCGGAAGACGCGCTTGCTGGACACGATGGCTTCAGGAATTGCATCCGATGTGCTTCGTTAGTGTTATGATGTCTACTGTTACAAGGTATTTATTCACGTAATTCATATTTCTACAGTTTATTCAATCAAAGTAAAATATGTTATCTTAACAGTTTGAAAATTTGTACAAGATACGTTTAAAAAATGGAACACTTTGTATATCGAAAATCGGTTTTTATGCGCATGTGTAATGTATTTAGGTGTAAATTTAAATTTAAATTCAAATTACATTCTTTCAACTTTTATGAATCACGTTAACCTATTAAACTGCGTATAAGATTTTATGCGTATTTCATGGCCGCATATTTCTTTTATCACCTATTTTGGCAAGCAAATTATTTTCTTCCAAATAAAATATATGGAGCACTGGGAATTTAGGGGGGTCGTGTAAAAATAGAATGATTAAATAATTATAAAATTAAATAAATAATAATCTTGTATTGTTAAAAATTAGAAGTGATCTCGTTTTCTTTCTGATAATACTATTTGTTATATTTTTTTTGTTCTATTCTCCTTTGTAGTCTAGTAATGAATTCATTGTTTCAACAATGAATTGCACTATTAAGAGAATGAAAATTATACTACTTTCAAGCGTGAATTAATTCCTGTTCAGGCTATTAGTAATCACAGGGCAATTTTCTAAAGCGGATTTAATTAAAATAGTTGTTTAAAAATAGTTACACTTTCTGTTAGTTTTATAAGTTATTTTTGTTACTATATTTTTACTAAACTATATTATTGCTAAATTATAACAAGAATCTCTTTTTTTCAAATATTAAATAACTTCAGTCTATAGTACAGTTAACATTTTTATATTTTAATTATCTAATTATTAAATTATTATAATTATAATTATTTAATTAAAATAAAATTAATTTTTTTCTGAACAAAATTTTTTTGAAAGGGAAGAGAATATTATTCAGCAGATACAATTAAAATAAACGATAAATAAAGTCATTCATCTGATATGTATTTTTTAAACATTTTTTCATAATATGCACACCTGTGTATCGATCTTTCTAACCTCCACGTGCGTAGCAAAACTCATTGAAAGTAACTGTAGATAAATAGCAATACGTAACAGGAAAAGTAATAATTAATTTTCTTTTTATCGAAAGAGAATGTACTGATTTCTCTTCAAATAAAATGTTAGTTAATTTTCAATTTCTAGAAAAGTATCTTCGTTACTAGATGACTAGATAATTTTCATCGCACGTGTCTCGCGACGCAAAATACTATGCAAGACACATCAGTTCATCGATCGCTTCATAATATTCGTTGAAATCGTTCAGAGAAAGCATCATCCGCCTTTATGTAGGATTATAGGCCTCTAATAAACTTTCGCACACACTTAGGCGAACTGTACGCACTCGTAAGTGAAACGAACGTAAACGGTATAAAGTAAAGCAAAAAATTTCACAGCACGTGAAAATCTAATCGGAAACTTTTTTTTCACAAATCTATTTCTGTTATAGTATTTAGTGCATTTTTCTTATTAGCATTTTATTTCAGAATGAAATTCAGAATAAATTCAACCATATTAGCGAGTATATTTGTGTAATAATTTGTTGATTGTATTTAGGCATATTGATGAAAAATGACAAGTTTTAATAATGTTTGCAAATTCATAGTTGGTGTTCTATACTCACAAGATTTCAGGAGAACAGGATATTGACGAGGGTATTGTGCGTCGTAAAATTTCCTGCGAATCCTTAGTATCTATGGGAAGCCATAACACAAAAATATAACCTATGAAAAACTTTTTTTCTTATTTGATTATTTTGACAGATTAAAGAGTGAAAATTCTAGACTGGGATATTCTAGTAATTGAATATTAAAATATTAGAACGTAGGAACTTTGGAAACGTTAGAAAATTGAAACGTTAGGAGGGAGGAATATTGGAACATTGGAACGCTGGAACTTTGAAAAATTGGAACCTTAGGAGAATGGAATATTGGAATATTGGAACGTTGTAATGTAGGAACATTGAAATATTGGAATATTGAAACATTGGAACATTGAAATATTGGTACATTGGAACATTGAAACGTTGAAACATTGGAATATTGAAACGTTGGAATATTCGAATTATAGGTTAACATATTGAATTATTATGACGTTATAACAAAATAATATTTAAAACATTAGAGTATTGAAAAGTTTGAACGTTGGATTATTCAAGTATTTAAATTGTAAATTGATATATTGGAATATTAAAACATGACAATATCAGAACAATGAAATATTAGTATACTAGTATATGTGAATTATAGATTTACATAGATGAATATCGGAACATTAGAACATTATAATATTAGAATATTGCTGTATCAAAATATTGAAATAATGAAACGGAATGAAACGAAATGAATTGGAATTTTAGAACACTCGATTTTTAATATATTCGAATATTAGAGTATTAAAATTTTGTAACATTAGAATATTAACGTAATGGAATCTAAAAATTAAGTCAAATTTGAGGAAAAAGTAGTCAGAAATATGAAATCTAGAAACTCGAAGTCTGATAAGATAAATCATCACGTGTAGGATCATCAATTGATTGATTAATTGATTGTTTAAAACTATTAGCGATGACAGCTGTTATCATTAATCCTATAGATCAAAGATTTTTGATAAAACATTTTTGGCGGATTTAGAGCAAAAATGATTCGACCCATATTTGGCCATTTTTGTTAATACTTTAAGAGGGTACTTAACATTTCATTTTTTGATAGTTTGAGTTTTCGTTAGTCTTGTTCTTTTTATTAATGTTTATTTGTATTTTATTTTTTTTTTTAGTTTACTGTAATTGTGTCATATTATTTACGTATTTTCATATTTCTAAATTCCCTGGAATTTTCTGGTTGTCAAATACCCAAACTCTGTCAAATTTCCAAAATTTCTAAAAGTTTCAAATTTTCAAAGTTCCTTAAATAGACAAATTCGCAAAACTTCACAAATTTTCAAATTTCCAAAATTTCTTAAATTCTCAACTTCCCAAAATTTCTTAAATTCTCAAATTCCCAAAATTTTTCAAAGTTTCAAATTCTCATCATTTCTTGAATATTCCAATTTTCAAATTCTGAAAACTTCTCAAATTTTAAAATTCCCAAAATTTCTTCAATTCTCAAAATCTGAAATTCCCAAAATTTTTTGTATGTTCAAATACTCAAAATTCCTCAAATTTTCAAAAATGCTCAAATTCCTAAAATCCGCAAAATTCTCAAATTCATAAACTTTTAAAAGTTCTTCAAATTTTTTAATTCTCAAGGTCTCTAAGTCCCTCAAATCCACTTTCCACATTTTTATCATAAAACGAAATTTACAATTGAAACATCTTGAACGAAAATTATTGCCAAAATAAAATATAGTGTCTCTTCCATATCATAAAGTAAATTAAAAATTAGAAACATACAATTTTATAAGTAATCCAATCATATCACTACCATTTTCATTCATCCCGCAAAAAGCCGCTCACCACTGAAACATAAATTGAATTTTAATTCTTCGTTCACTTAAAATCGACTGCAAAGCAAACATTAACAAAACCAGCAAAACAGTAGCAAAACTTAGATCGAAAAAATCGCACGGTTAAACTCCAAAGGTGTCGACTAATAATCCATAACCATAGACAAGAAAGAAAAAAGTTCGAACAGAGAAAAAGAAAAGACAAAAAAAAAGCAGAAGCCAACCGCAAAAGACGTAACAGTAAGACCAAGACCTTCGTTCGCTTAATTGCGGTCGTAAATTGGAAAAAAATCGGTAACCTAACGACTCCTCAAACGACGTTGTTTATGCAACTGTTTCAGTTGCATTCGTCAAGCGTTGTAAAATCGGATGTAAATTCATAGACCGTTTTTCGAACGCAATTCCGAAAATTACGATAATTCTTTGGAAGTCCGTTATCGCAAATTGCAATCCATTGACCGTGCTCGTTGTACCAAGATGTATTAACGGAAATAATGAGCTGCTCGTGTCTCGTAACTGATTCGCTTCTAAGCTATTTAAAGTGGTTGTGGTTTCTATCCGACAGTATTATTTTCACAACTTCCGTTGACGAGTCTTCATTCATTAATTGCGGCAATTATCTCAATACCTTTGCCAACAAGTAATGAGAAGTTCATTTCTTAACACTTTGCCGGATGCGTATTTTATGAAACCGCAGCGTATCTGGCTTCGATAGGAAAAAAGGACTCTCATTCATTTTTTTTTAGTTTTATTATTTAGTAGTTTTATTTGTTCGTTAGTTTTATTATTTACTAGTTTTATTTATTCATTTGTTTTATTATTTACTAGTTTTATTTGTTCATTATTTTATTATTTACTAGTTTTGTTTATTCATTAGTTTTATTATTTACTAGTTTTATTTATTCATTAGTTTTATTATTTTTTAGTAGTTTTATTTATTCGTTAGTTTTGTTATTTACTAGTTTTATTTTATTAGTTTTATTATTCACTAGTTTTGTTTATTCATTAGTTTTACTATTCACCAGTTTTATTTGTTCATGAATTTTATTATTCACCAGTTTTATTTGTTCATGAGTTTTATTATTCACTAGTTTTATTTGTTCATTAGTTTTATTATTTACTAGTTTTATTTAATTTCATTTTATTACGTTACATTAGATTAATTTTAATTGGTTATACAAGATTTATAACCAACTAGTTGAAGATAAATTTTAATCTCTTTTCGAAAATTGAGAAATCTATTGTTATGTTAGAAATGATCAAAAATAGTATTTCGAATATGTCTGTTCTATTAATAGCGTTTAACAGCGTAATAAATACAGAGACCCACCTTTTATCGCCAAACGGTATTAACATAGCCATAAAAATAAAAAATTGTGATATCAATTTGAGACTTCAAACACTTCATCAAAAAGTTGAAATAAAAATACAAAGTGACAGCGGACTGATTCGTTGTTTGATATCACATACAGGATTTTCCTGTTTTGTCGATATAACTGAAGAAATGTTTCAGACAAAGGTTACAGGATATCGAAGGAGACATGGTGGTAACAATTTAACCTTCGATGGATTTCTAA